CTCCCCAGTCGCAAAGACGCCAACGTCTGCTCGCAGAGAGAAGCTGCGCGATGGTGGCGGCCTCGTCAAGCGCGGCTTGGAGGAAGAGGTGAGCGCGCAATACATCGAGCTGCTGGTCATCTGCGACAAGGGCATGATCTTGAAGCATCGCGGCCATCGCGACATCGAGCATTGGGTGCTCACCTTGTTCGGCGTGGTGAGAACCGGCTAGCGCCGTCTCGCTTCCCCCCACTGAACCTTTCGGCCGCAGGTGAAGAGCTTCTACAGCGAGTCCTCGATGACGTTCATCATCCAGCCAGTGCTGGTGCGCATCATCTACCTGGAAAAGGAAGAGGAGGAAATCGATCTGGAAATTTCGAAAAACTTCAGAACGACCATGCCGAGCGTGTGCAAGTGGGGGAACGCGCTGCAGCCCACAGACCCCACCCATCCCAACCACTTCGACCTCATGGTGTTCATTTCCAAGTGAGTCGAGCCCCGCCCCCCTATCACCTTCATCGGCTAGGNGCCTTCATGGGCTTGGCGTGCTCGAAGGAAGACAACTGCTGTCTATCGGAGGACGCGGGCCTCGAAGCCGCCGTCACAATCGCCCACGAGATTGGCCATCTGTAAGCCACGCCCCCCGCTCCACACCAATGAACGTGGCCACGTTGCCGCACCCACCGCGTTTTCCCAGGGTCGGGATGGAGCACGACGGCAACCCGGGGGTGCCGTGTCCGAACGCCGATCCGGCCGACAACGCCTCCTATGTGATGTCATCGTTCAATCGGCCAAACACGGTGCGCTGGTCGCCCTGCAGCATGGCCAGCATGCACAAGCTGTCTAGGTGAGTGCCAATCAATCATCACCTTTAAATACTCACTGTTGACACTGAAATGGCTAAAGCGCATTCGCCATTGCGTCGCCAAGACCACGTTCCCAGCGGCAATCGGTTCTAAAAATTGGCAGAAAGCGACTTTTCCTTGGCCAATCGACGAGAAATCGCAGTAAGGGCCAAAAATGGGTAGCTAAAGCAACGATTTTCCGTGGGCAACGCCCTAATTGGCCCGAATGCATCCGCACTCGTTGGCGCATTCGCCATCCCGTCCACGTTGGCGTCCTCCAACAAGGAAGATTCATTGTTGACTAGAAAACACCGAAATAATAACGCGGAAAGATTCAACAACCGCGTACGTACCTGGTGAAGCTCCGGCTGGGGCTGCGCCCACCCAAAATCCTGTGCAATGGCCCCCTTTTATCTGGCTGGGGCCCCCTTGACACCTGACACAAAACCACACCGAACTGGCATGAAGTTTGCATCGGCAACCGAGCGGTTGCCGGTTGTTTCGCGCGATGACGTCACGTCAGAGGCTCGAACTGGAAACAGTAATGTTAATTTATTTATTGCTGCTGATACTCGCTGGCGGTCACATTTGCCATCAGCATATTTCCATCGTGAAAACCGACTAAACAAGCCCAATTTTCGGTTCAAGGTGGCATTATTATAGCGGAGGAGCAAACGAATAATTGTTTTTGGCGCCAGTATACTATGAACGTCAAACACGAATCAGAGGCCTTTCGGAGAAAAAACGCAAAAAACAGCACACACACACACGCACTATTTGGCAAAAACCAACAGAAATTTCAAAAAATTAATGTATAAATAAATATTAAAATTCCTCTAAATGGCCCTTGAAAAATCCAAAACATTGCCATCTTCAGGGTTACACCGTTTTTGTTCCGCTGGTTCTGTCGCGACAAGAAAATCAATAAAAAAATTGAATAAATTAAAAAGAAAAATACGGAAAAATTGGAAATAATGTTCGCGAACATTCCAGAGAACACGTACTGGACTGCTTCAAGGACGAGCCGAACAACGACGAGTACCCGCTGTTCGACGTGCTGCCGGGCGTGGTCTACGGCAAGGACGAGCAGTGCGTGACGCACTTCCGGAAAAGCAACGTGGTGATGGGATATTGCGAACTGTTGCCCGGTGAGTGACACATGACGCATGACGCAAAGCGCCACAAGGACGGCCTGTCAGCGGGTGGTTTGTGCTGCGGCAGAGTTCCGCTGCGGCCTGATGTACTGCAAGCGCCCGAACCCCACCAACGAGTCGCTGATCGATTGTTTCGGCGACGGCGTCGCCTACGCGCCCGGCACCTCCTGCCGCGACGAGACCCAATGGTGCATGCGCAACAAGTGCGTCCCCAAGGGCACCATCCCCGAATCGATCGACGGCGGCTGGAGCGGCTGGAGCGACTGGTCGCAGTGCTCGCGCACCTGTGGGCGTGGCATCCAGACCAAGGAGCGCGTGTGCGACAACCCGAAGCCAGTCAACCAGGGCCGCTACTGCACGGGCTTGGCCAAGGAGCGCCGCATCTGCAACCCGCAAGTGCGTGGGGCGCGGCCGCCACGCCCACCACCCCTCCCACTCTCCCTGATTGCAGGACTGTCCGCGGGACGCGCCCGCCTTCCGCGTCACTCGCTGCAAGGCCGACGTGAAGGCCCTCAACATGACCTACCTGCAGGCGGACTTCATCGAGGCCACGCCCTGCCGCAGCATGTGCGTGGTGCTAAGCCCCGAGGGCACGCGCGTGCGCGAGATCGCCGCCAGGGTGATCGCCGACGGGGCCAAATGCAAGGTGGGCAACCCGCTCATGATGTGCGTGGGCGGCGTCTGCACGGTCAGTAGCGTCGCGGCGAGCTGCGCGCACGATCTGATTGGCGCGCGCCATCTGCCGTGCAGGAGATTCCCTGCGACAACAAGATGGAGGGGTCGACGGCGGCGGTGGATGCGTGCGGCACCTGCAACGGCGACGGCACCATGTGCAGAAAGGTGGAGTACAGCGACAGCGAGAGCGACAAAGAGATTGCCAGTGAGTGGCCGCGCAGGCTACGTCCTCATCTACCACCCGCCCCCCACCCCCCCGCTTGCTTCCAGACTATGCGCGGATGGTGACGGTGGTGCCGGAAGGCGCGCGCAACGTCAAAATCTGGAACACCGACCGATGCGGCACGATGATCATGCTGGGCCTGACCGACGAAGAAACCGTCCTGTGGAACCACCTGAGGTGAGTGGAGTGGGTGACGGCTGGCGCCCTCTAGCGGCACTTTCCAGAGTCGGCTACCACATGGTGCCGCCCAGCAACTTGACGTTCTTTAAATTCACCCGCGAGTACGGCGCTGTCAACTTCACCATCCAATCGGACAAGCGCACGCTCTTCTGGGACTACAACAAGGAGGATGTGGGCGTCTACGTAGGCCACGCCCCGTAACCTCTCTCTCTCTCTCTCGCGCTAACCGATCAATTGCAGTTGCAATACACCACGGACGAGCTGGACGTGCCGACCAATTGGAGCTGGATGGAGCCCACGACCACGCCCCAATTCGAGCCCGTCTACAAATGGTCGATCAGTGAGTACCGGACGGGCCACGCCCCCCCCTTAATCTCGCTCGCCGATTGGCCGATCGCGCAATTGCAGCCGAGTTCGAGCCGTGCTCGGCCAAGTGCGACGGCGGCGTCCAGGCGCCGAAGCTGCGCTGCTTCGAGCAAAGCTCCGGATTGGTCAGCGACCATTTTTGCGAGAAAATCGACAAGCCCACCGACCCGCCCCAAAAGTGCAACGAGAAGCCCTGCAAGCCCGAGTAAGCCCCTTTCGGCCTCTTAATCCATCCACTGAAAAGACCTTTTTGGGGGGGCCAGATGGAAGGTGGGCCCGTGGGGCAAGTGCCGCGCCTGCCGCAAGAAGGGCGGCGTGCGCATCCGCCCCGTCGAATGCGTGCGCCCCAACCCCAAAGAGTCCGCCGACGACATTATAGTGGAGGACAGCGAATGCACAGGTAGGCGCCCCCCCCCAGGGGGTCGTTGCCACGCCCACTAACCCCCTCCCCATTGGGTTGCAGACGAGCGGCCCGGCACGGTCGAACTGTGCGCGACGCGCAAGAAGTGCGTGCCGCGCACCCGCAAGTCCATCTTCGTGCCCGGCCAGTTCCAGAGCGCCATCTGGCAGCAGATGCACAAGCTGCACCTGCGCAAGCGCGGCGCCCCGGTACGTACAGGGGGCGCAGCCGCGCCCCGCCCCCTACCTAATTGTTGTTGCACTCCCAGGCACACCCGCTCAGGCCCAGTAAGGCCAGCACCAGGCCCACCACGACCTTCACGTGGACGCCGCCCCCCGTGTCCGACATACTAAGTGCGCCGGCGCCCGCCCCCCTAAACCGCCTGCTAAACGGGTTTTTTCCAGGCAAAGTGGTGGTGGACGAGGCGCATATGGGCGACCCCCGGGGTGAACTGCGGGTGGGCCAAGAGATTGTGGTGCCCATTCGGGTGGAGGAATCGAGCGTGACGGAGGCCGAAAACGCGCTGATGGGCCCCGAGCAGCCCACCCGCATCGTCATCGGCTCCACCATCATGGAAACCACGCACTTTGCGAACTTTCGCCCCAATGCGACCGCCCCTTGTGCCAACAGTGGCCCGAAGCCTTAGGGCGACCCGCTTTTTTCAGCTGTTCTTTGTTGCCATAATTTTCGCTAAATAAACGAGGAAAATGTACGAAAACGACTTGCGCCCAGTCCGGCCCTGTGCAATTCGCGCGTCACATCGGAACTAGTGCGACTGGTGGACGCACCACTGCTCCCCAGGCTGCCGTGCGCCCGACAAAGACAGCACTAGTCGGGCAGTGCCGTCGATTAATGCGCACGTTGGGCACCACAGGGGCGGCTTCGCCTCAGATTTTTTGTGTTAGTGCAAGTAAGTGATTGAGGAGACGAAAACGGCCAAATTTCGCAACTGTTTGATCAGTTCAGGTAAGCACGTGAATGACTTACCATTTTTTGTGGTTCATCCACACCTGCCAAAACGTCACAGCCGATATCGTGGGCTTCGTCAACTATTGGCGCATTCGCCATCATGCCAAACTCAAGAGGGATTTTTTTCTATTCAGAACACAACCTACAAAAAACCGAAACTTTTAGTTGAAATTCTCAGGTTATAGTGCGAAAGCACGCGAAACCAACAGGCACAACTGCGCCACGTCCTTCTTGCGGGGTTTGCGTCTCTGCTACTACTGTTCAGGGTTTGCATCCTTGCTATTGTCGGCAACCCATTACTTTCATTGGAATTAAGATATGTTTAATATTCAATTTAAATATATTTGTTTATAAATCAAAAACAAGTCTTGCCTCTGTACAAATATATCAAACCGAATATTTAACATATCTTAATTCCAATAAACTTTTATTGGAATGGGTTGCCGACCATAGCAAGGATGCAAACCCCGCAAGAAGGACGTGGCGCAGTTGTGCCTCGGTCCATCATAGATGGCGGTAGGATAGACATCGTTTCCAGATTGTGCAAGAGAGTTGGTAATCTATACTCGTCTTTATCTATGCCACAGAACATACCCCCGGGGGGATATTTTGTGATCTATGCGCGAAACAGGAAATAAGCCGACCACAGACTACATACTAAGCCGACAAAAGTAGAACACATACACACACATTCGTGCATTTTCCATTTCTGATTTACCTCAGAATGTCGGCTTTCACTTGCAAAATCTAAAGGCGCCTTCCCCGAAAACAACCCGGAACAATCAAAAGGCCAATTCAAATTGACTCGAGCAGCCCCGGCCATCGGCGTACCCTGCAAAGGGGGCCAAAGCAGGCAGTAGCCCCAGGACCGTGGGGCGCGCAGCCGCAGGCGCCACAACAGCGCACGTACCTTGCAAAGCCCCGGGTGGGGCTGCGCCCCCTCAAAATCCTCTGCCCTGACTGGGGCCCCAACTGGCACTTGACACAAAACACACTGAACTGTCGTGAAGTTTGCAACGGTCTTCCGGCACTTGGCCGATGGTTTGCCTAAGACGTCACGCGAGAGGCTCGAACTGTGAATAATTTTGTTCACATATATTCATAAAATTTATTTGAAACGAGAAACAAAACTTCCTGATTGGATCAACCCCAATTGGATGGTTTATTGGCCACATCGGCAGTTAGTAGTTGAAATATTTATTAAACGGTCTCATGACGTGTGTGCCACCAACCACCCAAAGCCAACTTCAGGGCAGTTCGCTGTGTTTTTGTGTGAAGTGTCAAGGGGCCTCGGCCAGAGAAAAGGGGACAATGGCAGAGGATTTCGAGTGGGCGCAGCCCCACCCGGAGCTGCACAAGGTGTGCACGCTGTTTGGGCGCCTGGAGCTGCGCGCCCCGTTGGCGTGGCGCTACCGTCCGCTGCCCAGCCTGCTCCAGCAGGGGCCCCAGTGCGGGCTGGTGGCCCTGGCGATGCTGTCGGGCGCCCCAGTGGACGCCATCCAGGCCCACGCTCACGCCCAGGGCTACACCAGTCAAGGCGAGCTGTTCAGCTGCGACCACATGCTGGAACTGGCGCAGCGCTTCCTGCGCCCGCCGGCCACTTGCCGGCTGTACTCCGGCCGCCTGGACGACGCCCCAATCAAGCGCTTTCTGCTGCAGGGGGGCTGTTTGCTGGTGCCGTATCCTTGCCCTTGATCCAGTGCGCGGTTGCATTTAAGTGCCTTAACGTGGATTAGATACGACACTGCAAAGGACAACTCGCCAGGGCTCCAGGGCGGCCGCAAGGCCCACTGGGGCGTCGTGAGCGGAGCGATCAACACCGGCAGGGCGCTTTTCGTGGTCGCCCGGCACGGAAAGGCCAGAAACGTGGGGATTTGGACGCTCACTGAGCTGGCAGACAGCAACCAGCAGCTGAGGGCTAGCGCCCCGGAGTGCGCCCACCTGAGGCTGCCCCCCGGGGGCATCGACGGCCCCTCGGGGCTCAACGGCCGCAGTGTTCTGGTTCAGTTAGGGGACAGCTAGCTGTCAGGGCGGTCTCGAGGACTACAAACACCAAGAGCATTTTTAATAAATAAAGTATATTACAAATAAGTCGTCTTACGAGAATAATAATCTTTGGTTGTATGTACAAAAAATGATGCGCGGCAACAGGGCAACAGCGGCGCCATGTTGCCACTATGACTTTACCTTGGGCGCCGTTTTGGCGCTGTTCTTGTCCTCGAACTTGCGCTGCAACGTTGCCACGCTCGAACTGGAGCGCGCCGCCTTTTTCACGCCAATCGACGCCGTCTTGGCGGCCACCGGGGGCTTGACCGGGCGCACGCCACTGTTCACTTTGGCCTTGGCCAGCACGTCCGGCCCCTTGGGCGCAGGCTTGGCGCTGCAGCTGGTCACCAGGTCGGGGCTGTTGCTCACCGAGCGCTTGGCCGGGGAGGGGCGGCGCCCCTTCGCCGCCGCCTTGGGCTTGGGCGCCTTGTCCGCGCTGTTGCTGAACGGGCGCGTCGAGGCGTCGCGCCTGAACGAGCTGAGCGCGGGCTCCTTCGGCTTGGGCGCATGGGGCGGACTCGGGGCGTTGACGGCCGACGGCAGGATGTAGCCCCCACTCGAGCTGGTGCTCAAGTGGCTGCCCATGTTGGTGTACTCGGACGAATCAGCGGCGGGGGCGGCGCCCTCCGCTTCCCGCCTGCGCCGCGCCTCCTCCTTCTTCCGGTCGAGCGTCGACGTCGAGTAAATCGAGTCGAAGTTGCGGCTCTGGATCTCGGACACGATCTCCCCCAGCAGGCCCTGGGCGTCCTCCTTCGGCTTGCTCTCCTTGGGCGTCTCGTCAATCACCGCGTAGATGTTGTCCCCCGACGCGCCCCCCTCCATCACGTCGTCGTACTGATTGGGCGGCTGCAGGGCAGGGGGCGGCTGCTGGGGCGCGGGCGGCGGCGGGCTTTTGGGCCTGACGGCCGCGAAGCTGAGCGGGCGCTTGTAGCCGGCCGGCTGGCGCATCGAGCCGAACGTCTGTATGGCGGGGCGCTCCTTGGGCTTGGCGCGCATGCTTTGGGCGCGCAGCACTACCGCCCTCTTGGCGGCGTCCACCGGCAGCGCCGTCACAGCGATGTCAATGTGCGTCTGCGGCACCGGGTCCGAGATCTGCAGCGTGCGCAGCGCCGTCCGGTCGAGCGGCTTCTTGGGCGCAGCCTTCTCGGGCGCCGCCCTCTCGGCCGGCTTCAGAAACGACGCTATGCGATTGATGGCGGTCTTGGGCGCGACGTCCGGGGCGCCGGGCGCCGGCCGCACCGGCACCTTGGGCGCGTTCCTCAGCGGCGAGATCAGCTCCTTGGCGCTGGAGGTGGAGCTCTCGAGCACCGGGCTCGAAATCACYGGGCGCGGCTGGTTCATGGGCGGCAGCGCGGGCGCCGCCCCTGCACTRCTGCCGCCGCCCCGCCGGAACGAGTTGATCTTCTGCACGGGGCGGCTCAGGAGGCTGCTGATGGAGAGGGCGGGGGCCGGCGCCGCAGGCTCCGCCTCCTTCATCGGCGTCAGGCTGAAGCCCTTGAAGTTGCCGAAGAACTCGTTGTGCAGGCCGGCAGGGGGCGGCGACTCTTCGTGCAGCAGCGAGTGATTGGCCGGCTCGGAGCCGAAGGCCACGCCCCTGCCCTTGCTGGGCGACTTCGACCTGTCAGCGCAACAACCCGATTAGCGTCCAAATCCCCACGCGGCATGCAAAACACCACCAAAAGCGTTAACCAAACCAAACCAAATCGGGAAAGTGAGCGAGGTTAGAACGACTACACGTGCAAGCGAGACAGACGCACTACAGTGCACTAACAGACAGACAAGAACCTAAAACCAACAGAAACAGACAATCGGAGTGGGCGGGGGCTTTAGGCCACACTGGGGGGCGGGGGCTTGGCCCCGCCCACCAGGCTCTTGATCGAGTGGCTGATGGTGTGGCTGCGCACGATGCCCTCCGCGTTGGTGGTGGAAATGAGGGCGGGCCGGCAGATGGCCACGCCCCCCCTAAAGCCGCCCGCCTTGCGCGCCACTCCCCCCTCTACATACGTGGCAGTGGTCGGGGCCTTCGGCCAGCTGAGCTTCAGATTGTAGCGGGCGTAGTAGAGCAGGATGGCGGTCAGCGCCACCATGGGCACCACGCCCAAGAAGATGATGAACATCGCCACGACCACGCCCTGGTGGGCTGCAACCGAAAGCAACTAATTAACGGGAAATCGGGGGCAGAGGAGCAAAACCTACCGTTGGGGTCGGAGGCGGGGCCGCTGTCCTCAGACCCGCCCGGCCCTGGATACTCGCAAAGGGGCGGCGCAAAGCCGTCCTTGCAATGGCAGTGGCCGAGACTGTTGCACCAGCCGTTGCCGTGGCAATCCTTGTCGCAGTGCGGCGACTGCTTGCGCAAGCTGAGCACGTCCCTGCATCGCTGGTTGACGCACATCTGCCAAAAGAGGGCGCCGTCACACCACCACTCATCCCCCCTAGAGGGTGCCGGTACTGACCTTGCCATCGCCGCACTTGGCGCCATCTGGCGTCATCCCCGGGTCAATCTGATTGGTGCCCAGGTCGACAATGGCGGTGCGGCACGGAATGATCGAGCCCTTCTTGTTGATGAAACTGTGCGACAAAATGGCCACCGACTCCATCCCGAACTCCAGCCGCTCGTTCAAGTGCTTGCAGTGCAGCATCCCGCACAGCACGCTCCTGAAACAGATGCCTGCTTGAAAAAGCGCCCCCTGCGGGCTGCGACTGGACCTACTCGCGATCGCACTTGGCAAACGACTCGTTGAACTTGTTGTAGCCGCAGTTGCCATGCCGACTGCCCTTGGTGTTCATGTCGTAGCACTGGTCGTCGCTGCTCTTGCCAGTGTCGCCCCACAGCAGCTTGCATTGGTCGGTTCTGCAACAGGGGGCGGGTTAAAGGGGCGGGGCCCACGCGAAGCAAGCGGACACGCCCACCTGGTGCGGCAGAAGCCGTGGTAGCAGAAGGCGCGGCCCTCGTCGCACCTCTCGGTGTCCATCTTGAAAATGTCGGGCGGGCAGAACTCTGATTGGCCGGTGCAGTACTCGGGCAGGTCGCACTCGTATTGGGCGGAGCGGCACTCGGTGCCCGCCCCCTTTGGCTTGCATGTCTACGGGAACACCAATCAACGTTTGTCACAATCACACAGGGGTTGGGAGAATTTTTAAATTTTTAAAAAAAATTCCCCTGCATTTGCGGCGTTGTCGCCCACTACTCACACTGAGATCGCAGCACTCGCCGGTGGCGCAGCTCGCGTTGGCGTGCAGCATGCAGGTGGCGGAGTCGCAGCAGGGATTCTCGCAGTGTTGCGACATGCCGCAGTCGCACTGCTCGCCCGGCTCCACAAACCCGTTGCCGCACACCGGGCTGTCAAACAGAAACTCCGGCTTGTTCTTCAGACAGTAGTCCATGCCATGGGTGAAAGCGAGCAGGAGATAGTTCAGACTGCAGGAGGACCAATGGGTGGGCGCCACCGTCGAGCTACTGGGCGCCATTATGCAGCGCTCCTCCGGACACTGACAGTCCACCGTGTCATGTTCCATGCCTGTCCAACAGTGACAGCCGCGCGTCAACATTGAGGGCGCACGCCCGGTTGCCGTCTACTCACCGAAGTTGTGGCCCATTTCGTGCGCAATCGTGGTGGCCACCAGCCCCACCACCGGCGAATGGTCGTTGTTCACGCCCCCCGAGTACTCGAACGTGCACATCGGGCCCTTGAGCGCCTTGCCGACCACGCCCTGCTCGAAGTTGAACTTCCTGTCAATGTCAAATCAATTCAACTGATTGGCCAGCAGTCAAGTGGGGCCGCCGCAACTTACGTCAGCAGCTGCGCATTGTCGTTGGGATGCTCGAGCAGCAGCTTGTTCTTGCGATAGTGCAGGAAGTTGGCCAGGGTGGTGTCCCCATTCAGCGAGAAAATGATCTCGTCGTGCTCGCTCCACACGACCACGCCCACCAATGCAATGAAGATATTCAGCGGCGCGTACAGCTGCAACAGCGCACACACACACACAATGACAGTTGCCTGCAACTGTCAAAACAATGACTCACCCCGTTGATAATGTTGGCGATGGTTTTGCAGTGGTCCACCACGCGGCGCTGATTCTCGCCCAACTCCTTGAACTCGCGATTGTCCACCACCAGCACCAACTCCAGGTATTTGGAGTCGCGGTTGGCGTTGTAGGGGCCGCGAATGACAGTCGCACTGTCACTCGAGCGCTTATACTGGAACGTCACAACATTCAGATGGGATTAGGTCGACAGGAGGCGCCACCTACCCGCAGAATGCGGTTATCAGTCGATGAATGGGCGTGGGCGGGGCCGGCGGCCGCGCCCCTGTAGCCGCAAGTCTTGTTGTGCTCCCTCAGGTCGGAATGCGCGTAGAGCAAGTGGTGGGGGCCGCCCTTCTCCACGTAGTGCAGCTCGTGGCCGTCGAAGACCACGCCCTGCAGCCCGTGGCACGTGGACAGCGCCGCCCATGACTCGGGCCTGCCCCGCACTTTGCCCACATAGTGGCAGTGATTGATTTCCTGCAATTAAATTAATTTTTCATAAAAATAATTAAAATTAAACAAAAATTACCTCTTCATTGGGGCGCTCCACCACTCGACTGCCATTCACTTGGCGCCGATGGAAAAACCCTTTGGCCAGAAGGCGCTGGTTCAGCGTCAAGTCGAGCCACGCCTCCGCCCCGCCCAGTTCCATCGCGACGACAATGTGCTGCTGGTGGCGGCCATTCTGCAAAAAACCAGAGATGGCGCGCTGATCGGACCACTGGGCGAACCACTCACCTGCGTCCTGGTGTCCGGCAGATGGCGCCCGTAGCGGCCATGGTACATCCGGGGCCTGATGACGGAGTGCCGGTGGAAATCGGCGGCCGGAAGTGGCTCGTCTGCGAAACAATGCGTCATCGATTAGTGCGCCGCCCACACTAATTAGCGCCGTCTGATTGGTTAAGTGGATGACGCGCGTGACAGTTGAACTCGAAGCGGGCGCCAGTGCCAGGTGATTGGACGGCGCGCTTCGGACGCCCACGCCTCCAATCGGCCGGATACGCCGCTGCCGTTCCGGTTGCAGAAATCCAGGTCATTTCCGCCACATTTCCGAAAAAAATTCACCCGACAACGCCGCCAAAGGCAGTGCTGTCGCATTTTCCAGGAGAAAAATTCCCCACCAGGATTCTTGAGGGATTGACTCGAATTGTCATCAATGTTCAGGCGGGGGTTTCTCGGATTTTCGGAAACTCGACAACGTGGCGGAGCGCACATTTGAATCCTCAACAGCCAATTGACCAGACAGTGTTGCGGCTGTCACAAACATGTAAGATTCCAATTGTGCAACTTTTGCGGATTTCGTTCAACTCTCGGCAACGTGGCAAGGTGCTTCGAATCTTCAAACCCTTCAGAACCCAATGGGAAAACAGTGTTTTCTCAATTTTTCCAGCGTGCTGCAAAACATTATTGCAAGATTGCAGCAAAGAAGCAAGTCGACGCAAAAGAGAAAAGACAGCACAGCAAGGGCAAGCATCGAATCAGAACTGGACCAACAAATGCCGATTTAATTATAAGCTTGACCGGAACAGCATAAATAAAAAACCTGGAACTTTAACACGATTAAATTGGCAGCATGGGAAAACTGACGACACTAGGGACAACGCAGGCAAGGGCGGCAACATGGCCTTGACCACAGACTGCCCGTGGGGGGTTGGCGTAGTCAATCAACCCGCGGGCAGTGTTGCCCAATGGGGGGGAAAGTCGCCAAAGCGCAGAAAAGGCAGTGGCGGCGCACTGAGTCACCTGGTGGGGCGTCAGCAATGGTATATTTAGAATGGGACCGAAAGGGGTTTTGGCGGCGTTCAGTGAACCGCGGCCGTTAAAACGCCGTCATTAGAGCGGAAACGGCACACACAAATGTGCAGTGGCGCATCCGGTTGCAGACCAGCCGCAGACGTCACTGCCGTATCCGATTTCTCGCTCCCGATGTCTGGCGAGTGTGAGAAACCGGGAGTTTCCCAGGAAAAAGGGGCCCCCCAGTGCCATTGACACTTTCACACCATGGCAACGACGGGGCCACTCAAGGCCTTCGCCCATCGCGATTGGCCAACAACAACAAAGACTCACCTCTTTGTTTGGTCCAGGTGCCGGGGACGGCGCCCCCTTGGGCCGCCAGCAGCACCACCAGCACTGCACAGTGCACTGAATAAACGGCCATTCCGGTCACTTTACCTGCATAATTTCTGCATAAATGCACCACTGTTTTCCCCTTGTTCACTTAACACTCTCGCTCCAGTTTACGATGCTCGTTTGTTTCGCAGCAGCTGCTGGGTTGCCGGTAGGCGCCGGCGCCGCCCGCGCCATCCAGCGACGGCGCCACTAAAACACCCGAGTAGTGAAACATAGTTTATTGACTCCTTTCTTTACAACCGCGAAAAAAACGTCAAGACCCTTTCAAAAGCGCCCGCTCCAAGTAGAAACTAAATAGAAAAATATCGCTATCAACAGTAGTCAACATATGGCGCGCTCACACCCACTCACTCACCCCCACAGACACACAAAAAGCGACCAACGCTTGATTATCCACCTTTTTAATTCAGAGTAAAAATATAAAACTTCCAGGGCTCTGAGCGACAACAGTGCGGCGGCGCGACTTATCAACCTAGCAAACTGACTTACGGCCTAAACAAACAAATATTACTTAGGAGGTACGGCAACGATGTCCCAACTTTATTCGAAACTGATGCGAGTCATATTCGTTTCTCACTCACTCACACACACCGTCAGACACGCACGCACTAGTCTTGCATCTCCTCGGGGACCTCGTGCGGATTGAGGATGCCCGGCACTGACAGCTGCACGCGACGCTTCTCGGCCTGCGCCACCTGCAGGGCCTTTTCGCGCTCCTCCAGGAAGAGATCTGTATCGTCTTCGCCCGTGTACTCCTAGCGGACCAATCACAGCGTTAACACCGAAAAAATGGGCGGGCGCCCTAAAGTGAACCTACCCGGATTTGGACCAAAAAGTCCCTGAGATGCTCCTTGAAGGCGGGGATGTCCTGGTCCAGATTGAACATGCCCTGGACCATGATCTTGATCTGGTTGTCGGTCAGGTGGGAGAAGGCGGAGCGCAGCAGCGCCGCCGTGAACTCCTGTATGTACAACACGTTGTCGGGGGTGGGGCCTAGCTGGCAGTTGACACGCCCCGACTCCACCTACGGGCGAACAGAGCGATTAGGCCGCGCCCCAGTGCCGCCCCCCGCTCGATACTCACCAATGAGAAGATGTAGGCCAGGATGGTGGCGTGCATCGATAGGCTGGCGGTGTGCGACGTGTCGGTCACCACTGAGAACACATGCTGCAAAATGTCGGTCAGGTAGGTCTGGTAGAAGCTGGGCGCGGCTGCCTCCTGCTGCTCAACATTCTGCATCAATTTGAGCAGAATCTGCAGCCCGGTGTCGGCCACGTTTCGCATGGTGTGCTTGAACGCCCAGATGATGCTGTCCAGCACCAGCTGCAAAACGCCCGGTCAACCAATCAGAGCCCGGTAAGGGGGGCGGGGCCAACCTACCTTAAACTGCGTGGGCGGGATGTTCAAAAAGGCGGCAAAACAGTGATTGTTCACCTCCTGGAGTAGCAGGAAAAAGTTGGTTCGATGCTCGGGAAACTCCTCAAAGTCCTTGTTGATCATCTCGAGGGTGCACTCAAACACGGCGTCGAAGATCTTCGGCACCTCCATCGTGATGTGCCCCTCCAGATTGTTGACGATGGTGGCGATTGCGCTGAGGACTTCAGGTTCGCGCGCGCACGCCACCGTCGTGCGCTGGTAGTCGAGCAGCACCGCGTCCAGGAAGGGAGGAATGAAGTTTTCCAGGACCATTTTGTTGTCGTTCGAGCGCGCAATCCAGTCGGCGATCAGTTTCAGCGTCTCCTTTTTGACGACGCGCATCGCCTTGATCAGCGGCTGTTTGGTCACCGCCTCCCCGTTCAGTGTAATGGCGGCAGTGATGTTCTCGGACATTACCTGGAAAATTATGGAAATTTTCAATGTTGCCCAGTCCAGTCCTGTGCACTTGCTGCGCCCCCGACGATGATACGCCCACAAACCCGGGCACTGTCACCGATGTGTCAGACAAAGACAGCGCTACGCGAGCAGTGCGTTGTCGATGGCGGTAAATTGGAACAGACAGGGCCGGGTTCGGGGTTTTTTTTTTTTGGATGAATCGAATGG